TTTTTTGCACCGCTGCCTCCCCCCGCTTTAATAAAAAAAAAGTTGTACCCCCCTCAATTTTTTCAAGAAATTTATTTCATAAATACTTAACTGATATTATCAGACTACAATTTTATATGCAATATTATGTAAAAATATGCATAAAACTTATTATTTTTTCTATTTGTTTATTTTTAATATTGTGTCCAAAATGTTAGATTATTGCGATATTTGTATTCTGGAAACTGATGTACGCGCCCCCCTTAGAACAACCCAGCTTTCCTTGTGAGGCGCGCCTTACATGTTGAAAACTGCTACTATAATATAATTAAAAACTGAACCATATAAAATAGAAATAAACTTTGGCCACATTTATTTAAAATTCACCAGTAGTGTTATTTATAAAATTCTTGGTAAAGTCGAATTTTGCTTGAACTAAAAATATTTCAGGAAGTCTCGAAGTAAATAAGACGAGATAATGTTACTAGAAATACGTGAGCTAGCAACGTTCTGAATTTCTTTATTAAACCGAGTATCAGCTCATAGTTTCCCTGCAAAATAGTGCGACGTGCGTTTCCATTTTTTTTTTAGTTAAATGAACATTTATTTTGTGCCGTATTTAACCGGAAAAAATATATATTCATCAGGAGCCTGCACGTGTAATTAAAATTACTTCGTGATTTACAGCTTTCAAAACGAGGCGCGCTTGGACGGGTGACAAATGCATTTTATCCAGAGCGAAAAGCGCACGGGCTGCGGGCGTGCGTTTATCAGCATAAGTATTTTTGTATAAAGCCACCTGTATAAATTTCTATCAAACTGTGCGGGAATTTATGCAGGCTATGCAAAAAAAAACATGTGGAAAATTATCGGAGTTTTTATTCACAACTAATCGTATTATTTCCTCTTTTGTAGGTTGCAATCTAGCAATCAACATTAATTGTTTCAAAAAGTACTCAAAGTACCTATTACTGCACTACAAAATCATTACACAGAACTATTGTTTTTAAATAATTAAAAATCATAACTATATAAAGGGAATATAGAAACCCAACTTTTGTTATGGGTTTGTTAAATAGATATATGTTCACATTGTACCGGGATTTGCATTATTAGTACGGGAGATTGGGTATGGTTGTGCCAGAGTACGGAAGTGACAGTCGTCATTATAGCTAAACTATACTGATTTTGAGAGTTTCAAAAAAAAATTAAGTATGTTTGTTTGATCAAGTTTCCATTATTGCATGGAGTCAGCATCATACAATAACACTTCTGTAGACCGCACTACTTTTAATAAGTCAATTTTTTAGTGTTTTTTGTATGATTTTTTTTAGGTTTTAGTACATTTACTTTCTTCTCAAAATTTTAAGATATTAATCAAATTTCTAAATTCGTAATATAAATGTCAATTAGGCAATTGACATTTATAGTGAAAATTAAATAAATAAGAAAAACGTTACACTATGCTAGTAATTAATGCTTTATCATAGATAATATGAATTATCTATTAAGTATGACTAAATGAAACCAATATCAATTCAAATTATTTAAATTCAAAACTGTGATTTAATTTAAATATTTCTATATAATTTGAATAAATCCCAATCTACAAAAGACTAATATACTAGTTTCTTTTTAATCTATTATCATAAGAAACGATAACTAATTCATACTTATTGAAATTATATAAAATACTAATTACAATATATTTGACGGACGTATTTAGAAAGACATTAAGAATATCATTTAACCATATACAGTGTATTGGTTGTATGTATAAATTTACATAAATGAGACATAAAACATAGCACATAACTTACACTTTTTATTGATAAATTATTTACCAATCAATTACCAACTAATTAATTAATAGCCAATGTTAATTAATTATCAAAGTAAACGTAATATAATTGTCAATTAGGCAAAACATTATAGTAAATATTGATTAAATGGGTAAAACGCTATATTTTTCTAAGTTCTAAATTCTAAATTTTAGTTTATAAAGAACAATAAGTAAATCATACTTATTGAGATTATATAAAATACTAATTATTATATTTGGCATGAAGAAAATGACATGAAGAAAATTATTCAACCATATACAGGGTGTAGATTTTGAATGTATAATTTGCATAAAATGATTTGAATAAAACTTTAAATTTTGCACAAATAAAAAATAGCACAAAAATTACACTTTTATTTCGTAGTGAATGTTTGATTAATTGGCATTATAAATGTAATTACTATGTAAACTGCTGAACTTCTTAATAAATAATTTTTTAAAGTACTTTTATTAAATCATTATACATACTAGTGGCTAGTGGTTTGGAAATTCCTCTTTTTATGCCCGATGAAAATATTCATGTTCAAACTCATTAAAATATTACAATCCGGATAATGAATCGATTAATCGTCGCAATTTTATGGCTAACCATAACATATATTTTCGGATATAAATATATATTTTGGAATGCAATAACATTTGCGTGTAAACGATATATGCATACTTTCAATATTTTGTATATTTATTGGTCGTTTTTTATTATACAATATAATTACGTTCAATTTTGTTACCATATAAATTGAAAATGATATATAAGTATTGAAAACTATTGTTGTGAGTTTCAATTGCTTTAAAGGCATATTTATTGATAAATGTCGAAAAAATGTGTTCCGGATGAGAATATGAAGCATTACAAAATAATTTAGTAAAGTACACATAATAAAAATATTTTATTTTGGTAATAAGTTTATCATGTGCATTAATAGTTGATATTAAAATAATATTCATATGATTTAGAATGTTAGTATAAAAATCATATGAGAAATATTAAAATTGAATGATATATAATCATTAGAAACTAAAGTTGTGAGTTTCAATTGCTTAAAAGGCATATTTACTGATAAATGTCGAAAAAAAATGTTCTTGGATGAGAATAAAAAGCACTACAAGTAAAGTACATAATAAAAATATTTTATGTTGGTAATAAGTTTCACCATGTGCATTTAAATAAAAGATATTGGAATAATATTCAGACAAATGATTTAGATTTGTTAGTATAAAAATCGTATAAGTAATATTAACAATTGCATACGTTTTAGGTAAAGTTAAAATTGTCCCAAAATCAGTGCAAGCCTCATGGATTATTGGTAAATTAATAATGTAGTTGTGCATAAAGCAAGTTAATAGTTTATCTAATGAAATATAATTATCTAAATTAAAAATTTATCTAATTAACAGAAAAATATATTCATTTCCTATTAACAATATCAAGAGGAATCATATGACATAAATAAAAATACTTTTAACTTAATTTCTTGAAAATGTTTAGAAAATATAATTTTTATCTAATTCTTAAAGCTGTTTTAATAAAAATAAGTATGTTAACTATTTGCATGCTAATTTATCGTCACAGTAATTTGAAATATTATTAAAATTTAAATAAAAGACTTATACCACCGGATGGAATTAGAAGAAATTCTTGACTTAACCGTGTAGTTTTATGACTAACGCAGGTACCAGAATTAAAGAGTACATGTATATATATATATATATATATATATATATACATATATGTATGTATATATTTGTTTAAATTTTCATAGCGAAATAACTTTAATCTACCACAAGCAACTTATTTCTATCACAGCACTGAATTTATTCTGTGCTTTGTGTATATATTGTTCCAAAAAAGATTCCTCGACGCAACAAACTCATTCATCAAAGAGATGCCGGCGATACATTGCTATATTTTGTTCGCATGAAATATTTAATATTTATACATGACATGTAACATTGGCCGTCGCTAGCAACAAAATATGGGGAAGGGAACAGAAACAAATAACTTGAAAAAATGCGAACGGCCCGAATTAAAATATTATATTCCTGCGAGAGCATCAGATGGTTGTATAGAAAATATTTTTTATTATAATTTGGAGGGGCTGTGAAAAATGTTTACCTCTTTTACGTTGGATTTTATATTTATCCTGCAATTTATAACAAGCGATGCAAGGTGTCTAAAAACTTAAGTCAAGCCTAAGCGGGGGTATTGAGCTTAACTACCCTGAAAAAAATTTGAAAAAAGTATATTTCACTTTGAAAATTATCTTAATTTATGAGGTTTCAAGTGCAACCTAGAGTTTTGGTAATACTATAACCATATTCCGGTTATTACGGTTCATTTTTATTATTTTTGTGTATTTAAATCTTAGAACCGTAACAGTAAATAATATTTCTAGAAACGCAGTCAAAAATTCTAACCCTATTGTTCTGAATTTTTAAGAATTAAAACTTTTTGTTGAAGCATATTTTTAAAATGTAAAAAATTGTTCGACTTTGAAAAGGCTCTCCATAAAAAAGAGTGCGCGTAAGGTTCACACACGATTGAAGTAAAACTTATTTGCTACTGTAGAATTTGGCATTTAAATAAAAACAAATACATCATATAACAATTTTGAATAATGTTTATCAGTAATATGGTAACACTCGAGATGCACACATTT